CATAGTCAGACCCTGTCTCAAAAAACAAAACAAAACAACAAAAAAAACCCAACAAAGTTCAATCCCTGGTACCAAAAAAAGAATCAACAAATGGAAACATATCAAATTAAAAATCTGCACAGCACAAGTTAGACAACCAAAGAGCCGGGAATTTAACTCAGTGGTTCTGCTGCCTGGTCCTGAGTTCGATCCCCAGTACCAAAAAAGAAAAAAAAAGAAATAACTAACTGGGTGAAGAGACAACCTACACAATAGGAAAAATAACTTTTTGCCAAGTGTTAGGAATAAAGGAGGAAAAGGAACAAAGGTATGAGCCCAACACGACAGGTTTATTTCAGAGCAAACCTGAGATGTGCTGCTCTGGCACTTTGACCAGATCGGTGCTCTCATGCAGGGCCATGAAGGGGACGTGGCTCAGTGAAAGGGGTTAGGCCACTGGCAAGGAAAAGGCTTGACAATATGGGGGTCCCGAGGATAAGGCTTGGGAAAGCACAGAGTGTAATAGTTGCTATCAGTGGTAGAACCAAGCCAGCCTGGGATGGCAGACTCGTCCTTCAAGGGGTCCTCAGACATAAGACTAATATCTAGGATACATGAAGAACTGAAAAAAAAGAGTCCCCCCCATAAGTCCCTATCACAAAATGGGCAAGTGAAATGAATAGATGCTTCACAGAAGAGGTACAGATGGTGAACAGATACATGAAGAAATGCCCAACATCTCCGGCCATTAGAGAAATGTAAATTAAAAACAACACTGAGATTCTGTCATACCCCAGAAAGAATGGCACCATCAAGAAATCAAAGGAGAGGCTGTAGGGGAAAAGGAACCATCTCATCATTGGTGGAAATGTAAACTAATACAACCACTACAGAAATCAGCATGGAGAATCAGCTAAAGACTAAACATAGAAATTCCAAAACTGGGCGTGGTGGCGCACCACTGTAATCCCAGTACATGGGAGGCTGAGGCAGGAGGATCGCTGTGAGTTCAAGACCAGCCTGGGCTACATAGTGAGTTCCAGGTCAGTCTCAACTACATAGTGAGACCTTGTCTCAAAAAACCAAACAAAAACAAAAAACAAACACCCCCCCGTCAAAAAAGAGAAATTCCATTTGACAAGCTACTTCTCTTCTGGGAATCTTCCCAAAAGAGTTAAAGACATCATATTACAGTGATACACACATCTCCACATTTATCGCAGCACCATTCATAGCAGTTAAATCTGTCCAGCAGCAGATGAATAGCTAAGGAAAATGTAGTATTTATACACAACAGAGTGCTGCCCTGCCATAAACAAGGATGAACTTGAGTCACCTGTAGGGAATGGGTGCATCCTTAGGCCACAAGTGGTATGCAGACACACAGCTCAACTATATCACCCAAGTTCTTTTATATGAGAAACCCAAAGTAGAAGCAATTTACAGAGCAAAATAAAGGACAATAGGAAACAGGGAGATAAATCTTTCATAACTGGGACGGGGATCTAGAGATGGAAGGGGTTAGGGAGGCAGGGGAGGGGAAGTGAAAAGAATTAAGAGGAGTTCTACACATGAACCAATGCCCACAAGGGATGCAATCACTATGTGCTCATAAAGCAAGCCCATGTGGAGTTAAGAGTCACGTCCAGCTCTAGTTAAATGTTTCTCCCTTCTGGGTTGCAGCAGAGTGATGTTCTGGAGGCACCTGGGAAGATACTGCATTCTACCAGGGGAAAGTATACGGTTTTTCAAAGCCAAAAGGATTGAAAAAGTTCAAAGCTGGGTATGGTGACCCATTCCTACAATCCCAGCACTCAGTATAATGAGGCAGGAGGATTGCCACAAGTTAGAGGTCACAGCTTGCCCGGCCTGGAGTCCAAGGCCATGAGCTCAAGACCAGCCACAAGACTGTCTCAAAAAAAAACAAAAAACAAAAAAAAACAAAACTGATTTAGAAAGACCAAGCAAGGCTGTGTGTGGTGGCACATGCATATAATCCCAGCACTCAGGAGGCTGAGGCAGGAGGATCGCCATAAATCTGAAGCCAGCCTGGGCTACATAGTGAGTTAAAGGCCAGCTTGAGCTATATAGCAAGACCCTGTCTCAAAAGAGAAAGAAAGAGGAAAAGAAAGAAGGAAAGAAAGAAAAGAAGCCAACCAGCCAGCCCAAGCAATGTTTCCTGCTCTTTCTGGAGGACTGCTGACTGGCTGGGCTGGGCTGTGCCTGGCTCCTTTCTCCAGTCTGATGCCTCTCCGACACTTCTAACCTTTCTGCCCTGGGGTTTTTCTCAGATTTTTCTTTTTGGGGGGCAGTAGTGGCAAATGAACACAGGGCCTTTGCACTGAGCTACAATCTTCCTTTTTTTTTTCCCCCCAAAGCCTCACGATATATTACAGACTGGTCTTGAACTCATTATGTGCTCCAGATTGGCACTGAACTGGTGATTCTCCTGCCTCCGCCTCCAGCATGCAGGGATTACAGGCCTGCGCCACGTGCCTGACTTCTTACATTTTATATTCATTTATATGACCTTACTGTGCCCGCCCGGGAAACTACTGTGTTCTCAACTTCCTTCCCAACCCCAGTCCCGGAGAAGCCTGAGCCGCCTTTCTTCCTCTCTCCACGATTCAGAATTCTCTCCTGACCTCTCCTCTTCTCTAACCTTCTGAGAACCTTGAGTGGCAGGCTTTTTCTCCCTGGTTGAGAAACTGAGATGCGCTCACATTGTCGGTTGGAGCTGGTAGTGACACGCGTAAACAGCAGGGGGCGCCCGGGCATAAGAAGAGGCTGATCCAGGTTTCTGGGAAGCGCTCAGGATTTTCACGGCCTTCTACGGCATAAAGTTGAAAGCAAGCTAGGGGTGGCTCCCTGCGGCGAGCTAGTCTCACCCTTGAGTCTCCTCTTTTTTCCTGACCACCATGAACTGAACTCTGTGCAGCTGCCGAATGTGGGCCGCGCCCATAGGCCAGGTTCTCTCAGATGGCCAGACCCAGCGATCTATTTTCTTTCTACGGCTCTGACTTGGACCCACAGCCTCAGAGGCCAGTGTCCATCCCTGCACAACCCTCGCTGCTTTGGGGAGGGGTCCTTGCACAGAGCCAGTTATGCCCTTTCTTCCACGGCCATGGTTAGTGGCTTCGTGGCCCCCGGCACCGCCCACACAGCCTGGCTCTTCCTCTGACCCCCTTGCCTTCCTCCCGCCAGCTTCAGGATCGCCCTGTCATTCTGGCCTCAGGAAGAGGCGAGGAAGCCGGAAAACCTCTGCCGACCGCACTGGTCCCATCCTGCATCCACCCTGTTACCTGGGCCTGTCCATGCAGAGGCTACAAAATACAAACAACGCTGGTCTCTGTCCTCAAGGAACTTGTGTGTAAAGAGGGAAACAAGTAAATGGAAAATCACAGTATCAAAGAGGATGGGCCGAGGACTAGAAAGAAAGGAAGACAGGGCCAGTGCAGTCAAGCACCCCAGTAATTCCAGCCAACGGAAGCTAACACAGCCTAGCTGAGATGGGAGCATCACAAATTTGAGCCCAGCCCGCCCATGTCATTTAGCAAGCCCTTGTCTTAAAATAAAAAAATAAAAAGGGTTGGAGATATAGGTCAGTGTGAAGAACCTGGGTTTAATCTCCAGTACAAACAAAATGAAATAAAAAGCAGGCCTAAGGATGTAACTCAGTACAAGGCTTTGGGTTCAATCCCCAAGAATGCAGAGAGGCAGAGATAGAAAATTACAGCTGTATTCCCAGCACTCTGGGAGGCTGAGACAGAAGGATCACAAGTTTGAGCCCAGCCTAGGTAATTTAGTAAGACCCTGTCTCAAAATAAGAAAAAAAGAGCTGAGGATGTAGCCAGTGTAGATACCCTGGGTGAAGCCTCAGCACCAAAGATAATAACCCCTGGGAAGCAAGTTTAGATTCAGGAAAACAAAAATAGAGCCGGTATAACAGTTTCTATAAGGGGTGGCCTGGGGCCAGGCTGAAGGCCAGATCTGTTGTCCTTTGTCTACTTTCTTGCAGGTCACAGGATTGGGTGGGCTCTGACTCTGACCCTTGCGGTCTGAGGTCCCCAGGGAGCTAGCAATGCCCACCCTGGGTTAGAGGGCAGCAGCGAGGGTGAGGCTCACATGGAGGCACTGCTTACCAATGCACCCAATGCTAAGGGAAGACCTGACCCAACTTCCTGTGCACCCAGGGGCCCGCCCATTGGAGTAATTTCTTCTGCAGGTACAGGGGAGGCCTGAGCCCAATCTTAGGTTGAGAAAAGCAGCCACAACGCAGTAGGATGGTGAACAGGAAGACACTTCCTGGTTTTGGCCACCTTCAGCCTCCACCGAGGAGAAGACATAATGGGTCCATAACAAGTCAAGACAAGGGGCCAGAGTGGAAGCGAAGGGATGGTTATGTCCCTTGCCTAGGGCTTCCAGGAGGAGCAGTGGCTTGGAAGCCAATAACCTGGCTTCAGGCATTAGCTGGCAGCCTTGCTCAAGGGCCAGGTCAAAGGCAACCCTGGGCCATCACCCCAAGATTCCCACAAGGTGAAGGAGCTGTCCCAGTCTTGGCGATGCCGACCCTGGTATCCCCACAAGGCTGATGAGTCATACCAACCAAGGCATGGGCAAGACTGAGGGGTTGCCTGTTTCCTGAGAGGCTCAATAACTGTCGCTAGTCCTACTGGAGCCTGAGTCCACTTTTAAGTCTCAGCCTCATGACTGAGCAGAATCCAAGTTCTAGGTCCAGCTGAGGACAACGCTGAATGTCAATGCTTGCCCCAGCCTTGGACAAGGGGAAGCCAGGGCCCAGGATGACACTGAATAGCAGCATCCGGGGTCCCACCCTATGCCGGAACCGGGCAGAGGGGCCACTCAACTAGAAGTAGTCCCAGGGCCAAGGCCCCCTCAGAGGTGGCCCTGCTGGCTAATCAGGACAAGCAAGAACCTGCATTGCAACACCGACTGCTTGGCTTAGGCAGTCGGTAGGAATGCAGGGTCCTCCACACTCTGCTCCTAGCTGCTCTCGTTACAAAGCTAAGAGGGTTCTGAAGTTAGCTCGCCTGTCTGGCAAATCTTCCTTGAAACTAGGGGCTGCTCTAGGAACCCTGGAGGACAGGCACCAGCTCAGGGCCCATCACAGTTCTTACCTGGGGACAGCAAGGCCGACCAGCATGTATCAGATGTTCATAAATGTTAATTTTACGATTAGAAGTGGCTGTTTTAACCAAAAGATCCAGATTCAACCACCAACTCTAAACTTCACAGCCCGCTGAGACTCTCAACTGTTCAATACCACAAAAGTGGTGTGCATATATTTGACATTTATATATATTTCAAAAATTGTTCCAGGAGAAGGGTAGTGCACACACAGGTCCCACTCTGACCCCATCCAACTCCTAGGCACCCTTCCCCGATCACCAGGTCCTACAAAGGACTTCTCAAGTCCATCACACAGGCCCTGTCTGGATGGTGCCAGCCTCCAGGCCTGGCTGGTCTGACGCCTGCAGGGTAGACACAGGGCCCCGAGGTGGGGTGGGGGGTGGCGTGCCTGGGTCCCACAGGCTGTCCTCATACCGGCTGAGGGTGGGGCCTGAAAGCCGTCCTCGAGCCCCAGTCTGCTTCAGTAGGGTTCTGAGCAAGCCCACTGTGAGAGGCGGCTCTGCCCCAGGCTCAGGGAATGGGGTGAGCGGTCCCCCCTCATCTGGGAGGTGTGTCCTCAGGAGAAGCAGGAGCTCTTCAGGAGCCAGGTCTGGTGGGCACAGGCGACAGAGAAGGGGGAGGTGAGCATCGAGCTGGCGGTGCCGGGCAAACTCCACCAGTAGCAGTTTGAAGATCTCACTTTGAAGCAGGGGACTGGAGGGCCCCACGGCCAAGCCAGCCTCCAGAGCCCGCTCCCACTGTTCCTTCTGTACCAGCTGCCCCACAGCTTGCAGCACAGCCTTGGGCCGCCTGCTACCCAAAAGCAGTTCAATCTCTAGTGCCTCGGGCCTGGTCCCTTCCTCACCTAGCACAGCCAGAGCTCTTCGGTACAGGGGTGGCCCTGGGCCTCCAGCCCCCCAGCCTGGCCCACCCTGCTGCTGGGCCAGCTCCACGAAGTGGGGAAGCCACTGAGGCTCCAGCCGGCACAGGCACTGGCACAGGAGTTCAAAGGGCAACAGTATCCCATTGGGGGGCTCTTTTCCAGCTGCTGTACCTCCTAGCACCTTTTTCCACACATCAGGGGGCGCCTGGGAGCTCAGCATGCCGTTCCCATCTTGCTGCAGCTGCAGGGCATGAAGGGTGGCACCCCAGGCTGCTGAAGGAAGGGCCTGGAAAACAGTGTTGAGCTGGGCCAGCTGCTCCCCTGTCACCTCGGTGCTCAGCAGGCGTGCCACCTCCTGCTGGGCCAGCTCTGTCCAGACAGACTCCTCCTCCTCTCCAGCTACCAACTGGGCCTTGAGCTGCTCTAGGCCCCGATAATCCCGCAGCTCGGCCCTCAGCAGAGTCAACAGTGCAGACGGGGGCAGGTGGCCCTGGAGGACAGAGGCCAGGGCCTGAGGTGCCTGGAACATACTGTTGTGCCTCAGTTCCTCTGGAGTGAGCTGGGCACCCCGCAGGCTTCGCCGCTGGTAGTACCCACAGGCCTCCTCAAACACCAAGTCCGTGGCTGTAGGCAGCTCAAGGGATTGGGGCGCTTCCCAGCCCACACGAAACAGACCCAAGGCTGAAAGCAAACGAAGGCCCCCTTGGGACTCTAGATCTTCCTCGTCCTTCATGCCAAGGGCTGGGGGTTCCAGCAAATGGACAATGTCTGTACTGAGAACCTTTCGCTCCAGCAGCCGCCCGGTGCCCAAGTCCAGAAGTTCCAAGGTGGAGCCCAGCACACAGGCTAGTGTGCCCTGGAATGTTCCCAGGGCTGCAGAGCCCTCCGGACCTGCAGGGGCCTCCTGCAGGGCACCCAGGGTTCGGATGCTACCTTGGGCCTGCACTAAGCTCACGGTGCCCCTGGAGTCCAGTAACAGCAGGCCCTGGGGAGTTGGGGCCCAGGTATGGGCAGCCAATGGCTCTCTGGGGGACAGCAACCCAGGAAGGCTTCGGATTAGGGTTCGGAAGTCCCAGGTGTCCCCTTGCTTGGGGTTCAGGTTTTTACTGTAGGAGAGGCCGAGACACGGGGCAGCCACCATCACCTTGCCCTTGCTCGGGCTCCAAGTGAGCAGGATGTGGGACGCACCAGGACAGGTGGAGGCAGTGGGCACCAGGAAGACGTCCTTTTGCGAGGTCAGCAGGCGGAAGGGCGGGCAATGGTGCAGCAGGACGTGCGTGCGGCCCAGGCGGGCGCCGGCCTCGCCACCCGGCTCCAGGGTGC